TTTTTTTTTTTTTTTACACTAGTACCTCCGCCAATGTTGTGAAAATAGGGAAAACTGGCACTTTTCCCAAACTCCTAAGAAATCGGAGGTCAGGCCCGACGATGGCTGCCATTGATAAATCTGATCAGCAGCCGTTGTTTTGTTTCGGCCGCCCGCTATTTTCCCACTCGGCAAAGGTACTAGTGGTTTGATGGACCATTTCTCAATCGATGTGTGTCATCCTTGCGCAGAAGCCATGCTAATTTTCTCTGTATCGTTCCAATTTTAACGGATCTCCCGAAGGACAAGAGGTTCTGTTTTCCTCCCCTCCCCCCCACAAAACACACACACACACACACACACACACACACACACACACACACACACACACACACACACACACTATGAAGGTCGTCACATGGGACGCTTAGCTAAGCTTCTGTACTAATGTGAATACATGGGATACCTAAGGAGGCTGTACGAATGTGAACTAAGTCATGAAGGGCATCGCATGGGACGCCTAAGCAAGCGTCTTTTTTTTTTGCTGTACGAGTGTGAAACGAGTTACATAAGACGCCTAAGGAAGCTTCTGTGCGAATGTCAACGAAGTTAACAGCCTACAACAATGAGTTTTTTTAACTTTTTCCTAAAGTTATTATACAATAGATTGAACAGAATGAATTATCTCATTCTCATTTGCTATTGCACTCATTGGTGGTTTGTCATTGTCAGTGTGTGGAGAAAAACGGCATAACGTTCATGGAGGAGGAAGAAGATAAAGAAGAGCAAAAGGAGAAGGAAGTGTCAGCGGAGGGTCGAAACGGTCCCACGTCTTCTTCATATGCAAAAACGGCACCAGCGACAACAACGACAGACAGTCTCAATCGACGGCTAGTAACCGTCAATCCGCGGGAGCTGCTAGTTCCATCATCAGCAAACCGCGTTCTCATGTCGGCGGATTACTCGCAGATCGAGCTTCGGCTGATGGCTCACTTTTCCGGCGATCCGGAGCTCGTGCGCTTGCTTCGTGCGACGAGTGGCGATATTTTCCGGATGATCACTGCTCAGTGGAGAAATAAACCAGAGGCAGAGGTGGACAGCAGAGAGAGAGAGAAAACGAAATCGCTTGTGTATGGTATTCTGTACGGTCAGGGTGTTTCTACCACTGCGGAGAGGATGGAGTGCAGTTTAGCGGAGGCAGCAGAGTGTAGCAGCCTCTTCAAGAAAGCATTTCCGCGCGTGTCACAGTGGACGGACGAGGCGATAGAGTCCTGCCGTCGAACCGGATACGTCGAAACACTTAACGGGAGACGGCGCTACCTCGACAAAATCAATGGCCACAACCGAAATCAGCAGGCCCAGGCAGAACGCCAAGCCGTGAACTCAATTTGCCAGGGATCTGCAGCAGATATCATCAAGTTGGCGATGATTCGACTGCATTCTCAAATTACGGGTCAAGCCCCCCCCCCATGTGATGATATGGGCAGCTCTGATCCTACTACCGTTGATGGTGCCGCAAAAGCTGATGGATTGAGGGGCAACGTGGGGAATGATGACGGCAGGGACACTGACGTCAGGCCTAACCTCGCCGATAAATGCACTCTGTTATTGCAGATTCATGATGAGCTTCTGCTGGAGGTTGACTCCACGTTTGTCTCTCTGGTCGCAGATGTGGTACGGAAATGCATGGAAACAGCGATTGAGCTGAAAGTACCCCTGCAAGTCAAAATAAAGGTCGGAGAATCTTGGGGATCACTACGTCCATTTGATGAGCGCACGCCGAAGAATTAAGTGCATCACTGCATCATCTATTAATTTCAGCCAACACCACATGAGAGGGGGTTGACCAAAAGATAACGGAGAGGGTTTAACAGGTGCGACTCCCTCCTCCTCCTCCTCCTCCTCCTCCTCCTCCTCCTCCTCCTTGTCGCCCCCATGTAGAATAAATTGAGCAGGAGAAGTGTTTGTCCATCTTGATGACATTCAATTGTGAGAAACGCCATCGTCATCGTTGTTTTTCGTTTCGAAATCAGCAGGCAGTAAGTGCAGTTCATTAATGGCTACACAGGAAGCTGCTCAGGAGACCAAACAGAAGCAAGAAAACACACAATGCCTAGCCAGCCGGTGTTGTCGTCAGCAGTTGGGTTCTTTAGGGTAATAATGATTGTAGAAATCAGCCATTCATCATGTCCACCAACTTCCAGTTTCAAAGGCAATGACAATGGCAACTAGCTCGTGAACGCAAAAGGAGCGAGAATCGGTATCTTGCTAACAGTGGGGACGTGCCAGAGGGTAAAATTACTAATTACGAAAACGGAAAAGTGAGGGAGAGCGTGTTGGTCATCTGTGGGTGGTAGTGTGAGCGGCATTCACATTCCACCGACATTATTCCCCGTTGCCGTTGACATCCCAATCATCGTTGTGGCTGCTATCGATTCAGAAAGAATCACTGTGTTGTTAACCATGGGGACGTCGTGCTAGAGGGTAATTATGAAATTCAGGGAGGGGGATGCTGGTCATCTGTGGGCGGTAGGAGGAGCAGCGTTCCAAGTTATTCACCCCTCCCCTTTTTACTCCAAGCACGGTGGTGCCTGTTGCTGAGATCCAGCCTCTTCGCCGCTTTTTTTTTTTTTTTTTTTTTTTTTTTTTTTTTTTTTTTTCTGCTCTTCAAAATGTAAGAAGCTGCTTTTGATTGGTCATTGGCCTTTTCTCAGTTTTCTGTTTTTTTTTGTACCATCCCCAAAAAGTCATTTCATAACCACTCAAAATTTTGGCTAGTTCTTCAAAATTGGCAACGAGTTGTAAAGCCATGGCGACGTGATTGTATCACATTATGGGCCTAGTTGCATCACACGGCATCCGCCAACATTTTGAATGCATCTGGACTCTCTGTCTGTCCAGGTGCAGTCAGAACCTTGGCAGATAGTGAGTAGTGCAACTAGGCCCTATCTTTTTCTCCCAACCTGCATTTCAACATCTCTTATGGTTTTCAATTTCTTTCACTTTTCTTGTCCTCTTGTTCCTGACTAACGCCCGGTCACTACAGCTGTATTTGGGGCAAAATTTCAGACCAGATGGAGCTATAATAACCAGGCGTTTTATTTGGGTGAAGATGGTAGTCGTCTGTTTGATTCTTCGGGTGTGCTGGTCTTGTTTCTCACGCTTTGTCCTATCTCGTCCTGTCCTCCCTTTTCCCTTTTTTTTGGTATTTTGTCTTCACTTGTCCTCTTGTTGTCCTCGCTAGTCGTCTGTTCGATGCTCCTGTTGTGCTTGTCTTTGTTTATCATTCTTTGCCGTGCCCTATCATGTCCTCTCTTTTTTTTCTTTTTTTCTTTTTTTGAAAAGGGCAACGGCCGTGAGGTATTATCAGCAAACTGACCGGCCCCAAGTATGTCAGAGTTATTTCATTCATCCGAGTCCATCAGGATTCGAACTTAGGTCAGTTCTTCGGCAGTTCATACATGTACACTTCGATGGACACATGGGATGGGTCCTTCCCTTCTTTTTTGTCTTTTTTTCTCTTTTTTTTTGTGGTTCCTTCCTTTTCTCGTGTAAACTTCTAGGGCTGAAGGTCTACGGTTTGAAGCATGGTTACACCGTACCCAGACACCGGACCAGTCCAGACGTCTGGGCGGACATGTGTCTGGACTGCTCCAGACCGTCCGGATTGAAAAACCCCTTTAAAATTGAAATAAAATAAAAACGTTTTTTTAACTCTTTTTTTTCCCCCTTGGATTTGGCTTACGAATTTTGAGATGGTCCTCAGCCAAAAGATTTTTGTATTGCAATGCTGCACAGCATATCTGTTTTTCAGATCTTTTTTTTTTTTTTTTGAGTCCGATTTCTTTTGGGGGTGGGGGTGGGGGAATGGATCCAGACACTCTGGACCAGACACCAGACCCGTTCATCCAGACCCAAACCGTCTGCACTGCGGTCTGGATGTGCAGATCGTAACCATGGTTTGGCTACTGCCGGCCCCTGGTCTGGACTCTGGAGTACTGTCGACTACTTGCTCGTAAGGATGTGACACCCCAAGGGGTGAACAATGGCAAGACACAAAGTTACAGCAGGAAAAGAGAGGAACGGCGAGAGACTACAACGACTAGACAGGCACTTGCCAGGCACGGAATATAGCACTCAACATCAGCACCAGAAGCAGCTGCAACATTGTTTTCATCTTTCACTGACTTTCAGGCCATTTCTGAAGGGTGGGGGTTGGTGGAATGGGAGGTTTGCTTGCCTACATGAACTGGGGGTCAATCATAGGTGATAGCAACGAGAAGGGACTGCTGGCTGGGTGAATGGGAAGAAGCAGAACACCACTTAGAATCTGTTGCCTATTCTCTTAATAGCAGCCATAGGACTCGTGTATACTAGCACTTACCTTAGGCTGGCATGTAGGCAATCAACTTAGGCTGATGAGTAGCTCTTACCTGTCAAATATCTTTCTTTATAGGTGGGCCCTACAGCTTGCTGTCGGTATAGACACACGTCTATTCAAACAATCTAATAGACCCGCTTTCCAGCAGGTGCTGCTCCCCACCAGTAGATGGAGCCTCCTCGGAAGTACTAGCGGTGCCTGCTCCTATCAGCAGTGCTAGCATCAGCTGTTCCTTACCTTTTTTCCTTTTTTTTTTTTTTTTTTTTTTTTTTTTGTTAGATAAGGTGATCTCTCTTCTTCCTTTTTGTTTAAGGCTGAGATTCTCACAGGTTGTCTCCTTTTTTGTCCTTTCTGGCTTGTTTTGTCTTTTTCTTTTCTTTTTTTTTTCCATCTTGTGCAGCGTCTTCTTTTTTTTTTTTTTTTTTTAACGTAGACCATTTCTCGATTTATGCGTGTCATCCTTGCGCAGGGGCCATGCTAATCTTCGACACCGTCTTGTTCATCTTCTGGGGGCCATGCTAGAATCCCCAGAGGGGCACTTCGCACGCGCGTCGATTGCTGAGGCCGTAGGCAGAGACTTTGAGTTTGGAATCGTTGGATGTCATGTATGATCTGTACCGGACATGGAATTGGATGACATGTCTATATCGGGTTCCGCGCCGCAGCCGCCGCTACACATCAATCTACATGCATTTGGACGCTTTTCAGACCAGGAGCATTCAAACCAGTCCAACAGTCGTTGAGATTGTTTTGTAGTAGAGCGAGGCCTGTCCTCTCACGTTCCTCTCGTTGGTTTATCGGGAGCTCTACCCCCAGCTGTCCACCACGGCCAAGTTGAGTGTTGTGCATCTATTGACAATTTCGGATTTGCTGATTTCTTCATTTGTCACGACTTTGTCTTTTCGACGTGGTCTTTATTGCTCATTGATTGATTGGTTTTGACTGCTCTTTAAGTGATTGTGACACAATACTACAAAGTGCAGCAATCCAGATCTCCCATGGACCCCCTGCTGTTACAAACGCACTCTCTTCTGACCCCAAATCAAAAAAAAGCAAATCGGGGGAAAAAAAAAAAAAAAAAAAAAAAAAAAAGAGGAACAAGCAAGTCGACTCGCCACTAGTGTGATTTTCATGTTACTTTTATTACATTGTTGGTAATCGCTTAGAGCTGACAAGATTGAAAAGCACTCGTTTCAAAAAAAAAAAAAAATTTAAAAAAAAATTTAAAAAAAAAATCCGAACCCCGGCCAGAGGCTTGTTGGCTACTGATACAACTTGAAGTAATTACTAATATGAATCTTCTAGGTCCTTTTTTTTTTTTTTAATAACGTGCAGAGGTCATGCTTATCTTCGTTGTATCATTCCAATCTTAAACAGATGTCCCGGAGGACAGAACCTTCTAGGTCTAATTAGATAATTAGAATGTCAGAAACATGCGCGTACATGCCACACACTGTTCCAAAGCTATAGGAAGCACGGACATCCCATTCTGGATGTCCCGACTGGGGCCAGATTATTTGGACCTTAACCATCTCGAAATCCAGATAATTAAAAAAGCCGTAAAGAAAAATGTAAGAATAATGGCATGCTGTGCATGTCCTGTACAGCAAAATTATGTTTTAGACTTCTATGAAAAGCATGTCTCCATTGTTGACATATAGGGCGTACTCACACTAGCAGTATCTCGAATGTTGTGAACTAGTCGGCTCGATGAACCGGATGACCAGAATGACATCGTTCTGAATTATCAAGTGCCAGTTGGTTCAATGATATCTTTTTTTTTTAACTCAAATTTCATTCATAAGCAATGACGATATCAAAAAAANAAAAAAAAAAAAAAAAAAAAAAAAAAAAAAAAAAAAAAAAAAGAAGGAAAGAAAGAAAGAAAGCAATGATGATACCTCAAGGATGTTGCCCTTTTGAAAATCAATAAATAAATCGAATTTACAGGAAGTGTATTTGCTAGATTCAATCTTGACAATAAGTTTATGTCTTGGTTTCGATGCTCCAGCTCTCACAAGCCTGCCAGATCTTGTAAACTTATGAGAAATTTCTGAATTTGGAATTGGTATCAGTGCAGTTGAAAGTGTGCTACGGTGATTGTGGATGATTCTTCCGATCAGACAATATGCGGTGACTCCTTTACGAGGGCTTGATTCTGTACTGAAACATCGCAATGCTCGCAAATGTAGCTTATACGATAGGTACCCAGGGTAGTGTGTTGGGAGAAGTAGATAGGTAAGTAACTAAGCTCTCGATAAAAAGAAAGGGAAGAGAAAAAAAAAGCAGTGCACTTAGTAGAGTGTGTTTGGACAAGTAGATAGGTAAGTAACTAAGCTCTCAAGAAAGGAAGGGAGAAATCTATGCAAAAAATAATGACATATCTATGCAGCACACTAAGTAAGACAAATCTATGCAAAAATAGTGACAACAGGTCTCTATTAACTCGAACAGTTTCTAGGCCATGCAGCTGCATCAAGGGCAGTTTTTCAGCTGCACACTTGTTCAATGATTTCCTCGTCTACTCGGGGGAAGGCAGTGGAGCGCCGAGAGAGTAGCTGTGTTTGGGCTTGTGCGCCT